GTGCAAAAATGGCGTAAATCCTATTCAGTGATGAATCGAAGTTCAACATCATTGAGAGCAACGACATTTGCCGTGTACGTCGACCGGCCGGAAAATGCCTCGATTTACGTTACTGCCATAAGACCGTGAAGCATGGTGGAAGCAATGTAATAGTCTGAGGGTGTTTTTCTGCTAACGGTCTTGGTTCAATTCATTGAATCAATGGAATAATGGACCGTTTTATGTATAAAAGTATCCTGAAAGATGTTATGTTACCTCATGCTGAATGGAATATGCCAATAAAATGTGTTTTTCGGCAAGACAACGATCTAAAACACAGTTCAAAAGTAGACAAGCAGTGGTTTCAAGACAACCATCTATCGGTGATGGATTGGCCGCCTCAATCTCCCAATCTCAACCTTATCGAGAACCTGTGAGAGATGGTTAACTTCAGAATTAATCGTGAAGGTTTTCGTAATAAGGATCAACTGTTTGAACAAATCCAAAAGGCCTGGGCAGCGATTCCACAAAGTTTCATTGACCACCTGATCGAATCAATGCCTCGAAGATGCAAGGCTGTGACCGACAACAAAGGATTCGCCACAAAACATTGATAGCGAAATACTTTTGATTAATTTATTAATTTTCTTGTACAAATAATAAACTTTGTGATGAATAAAACTTGAAGAACGTTGTTACATAGTTACTTCTCAAGTTACATAGTTATTTCTCTTAATTAAAAAAGTGCAGCACTTTATAAAGAAACTAAATTAGCATTATTTAGTTGCACTTGTTTTGTCCGATACTGTAGTTCAACAACCTTTTGAACGACTCAATTTATTAAAATTTCTGACCTTTTTTAAATAGTCTCCCTAAATAACTTTCGTTTCCAAACATCATGTTTTGTTAGATATATAAACTTACATAAGAAAAATTATTTTAAAAATATTTACGGGAAACAAATAAATATATATTTATTATTAAGCGGGTATTTGTTCAATTAAATAGACGAATAGCCCTTTATAATATTTTTCTCTTCATTTAAAAAACATTTAAAAATCAACTTTAATGTTGTTAAGTTGAGTTCAATGTTTTAAAGTTTTTTTTTTGTGTAAAATTTTTGTAAAATAAGATTTTTTTAAATATAATGGAAGACATAAAAAATGCACACTTGATGCACAAATGACAGAATAAACACGGAATTGCACAAATGACGGAATAAACAAAAATAGCTGTACAATGTACAGCTATTTTTGTACATGTACAGTGTACGATATATAAATTAAATAAGTAGATAATAAATTCAAGTAGATATATATATATATATATATATATATATATATATATATATATATATATATATATATATATATATATATATATATATATATATATATTCATTTCCATCTATCTAGATCTATTTCGGCTGATAACTAATACTATAATACTGATAACTAAAATTACGCATAGTTATATTAATAAGAATAATTACCCAGCAGGCACAATGACGTTGAAATAAAGTTGAAACAACGTCGCAAACCGACCATGTGCTACGTTGAAACAACGTTGAAATTTGGTTGAATTGGAAATAAAATCCGACGTCGAAAACTACGACGTTGAACCAACATTGATGATTACGTTGTTTCAACGTTGATCTAACGTTTTATCGACTACATATCAACCATATTTCAACTTTGAATAGGTGATATATTTAATTGATACTTAGTTGATAAGACGTTAGAACAACTTTGAAACAACGTAAATTCAACGTTGATTTTTGTTTTTTATTTTAGTTAAATCAAATTAACTAAAAAAACTCAACTTTAATTGCAATAAAATACCACAATAAAAAAACAATAATTTGCACGAAGAATATAATATTTCACGTAAATTAATCAGATACAACTAAATTGCTTCAAGGGACTTTATATACAATGCAAATAAAGTAAAATATTTGAAAAAAAAAAAGTTTTATTTATCTGTAATATATTTATCAATTTATCAATAATAACGATTATCAATAGTTCCTTAACAACTAGGAAGAAGTATGAATGTTATACATCGGGTGAATCGCCTTTTACGCGCCGACCACCACCATTTAATCTGTCGAGTGCGTATTTTAATAAAGTCATTGTTCCTTTTCTTATTTCGGCAACTGAAGCAGTCACTTTAATTGACAAGACGCTCTCTAAAAAAAAAGTATTGACTGAGTAATTTGCATAAAATACATCAAAAAGTTAAAAATAAAATATCATTAAAAAAGCGAACTGTGATTTTTAAAAATATATAATTTTACACTTAACTTACAAGTAAATACCTAATGTTTGTTCCTTTAAACTTCTTTTTACCTTTACCGCCAGCCATATTAAATTTTGATTATAAACCATTGGTCAACAACCTGCATTTATACATTGTTACTATTATTATAGCTATATTAAAAATTGATAAACATGTCTTTTACAAAATACAAATTATTCTCAATGAAAAATTGCACAAACCGCAAAGGTTTCTTACCAAACCGTAATGCAAGTAAGAAAAAGAATTGATACAGGGGAAGAGTTTGGTCCAAGGAGACCACCTTCTAAACGCAAGAAAACACCAAGAGCGGACAGTATAATCAGAAATATCTGCCTGGAAAACAGAAAAAAAGCCACTAAACTTATTGCCTAATCTTATCCATGAAGCTGTAGTTGTTGTGTCAGACCGGACCATTTGTAGAAGGCTAAAAGAAGAGGGATTGATGTCCAGCCAAAAATGTCAAAAAATGACAAAAAAAATCAAAAATATTAAAAATAATGTCAAAAATCTTATATTTATGCAAGATGGTGCAACTTGCCACACAATAAAAACTGTTATGGCTTAGTTGATGCTATGGCCAGACAACTCGCATGATCTTAACGCCATAGAAAACAATTGGGAAATAGTAAGAAATAGTAAGCAAGAGATTGGAAAAAAAAAATCTTACTAATAAGCAATATCTTATGGAAGAGATTATCAAGATCTGGCACAATAATCCAGAGTTTGCAAAAACTACAAAAAATAAATTGCAAGCATGCCACAATGCGTTGAAGCAGCTATTGCAAATAAAAGTGTTTTTGCAAAAAGTTTATACTTTATATATATTTTATATAAAGTATCATAATAATCAATAAATATTCAAAATGTTCAATTTTATTTGCTTATTTTTATCAAGTACAACTTTATAAATAAAGGAAATAACTTTAAATTGCACCATTATTTTAAATATATACATATATATATATATATATATATATATATATATATATATATATATATATATATATATATATATATATATATATATATATATATATATATATACACACACATATATATATATATATATATATATATATATATATATATATATATATATATATATATATATATATATATATATATATATATATATATATATATGTATATTTATTTATTTATATATACTTATTTAAATATATATATATATATATATATATATATATATATATATATATATATATATATATATATGTATATGTATGTATATGTATATATATATATATATATATATATATATATATATATATATATATATATATATATATATATATATATATATATATATATATATATATATATATATATATATATATATATATATATATATATATATGTATATATATATATATATTCATATAAGCATATGTATACATACATATATATGTATGTTTATTTATGTACATATATATGTATATATAGAGTAAAAAAAAGGTTAAGTATGCGTTACAAATCAACCTTTGTACTTTAAGGTTGTTCTTTAGCTCAAGGAAATACAAAAGTAAGTGAAAACAGTTTCAAAAAAAATTCTAATCAGACATAAAAAAAAAAGATTTATTTTATGTCTGATTAGAATTTGTCAAACTTTTAAAAATATATGCTAAACATATTTTCGACACAAGTTTAAAACAAACTATAATAAAAAGATTCAAAAGATTTTTTATTTAAAACTACTTTTAACAAACCTTTGCATCACATTTTTTGTATTTGTCTTAATGGTGTTACCTCCAATTTTAGAAAGTTTGTTAACCTAAAGGTTTAAGAAAATAATTACACCACATTATTTTCATAGTACATACATAAAAAGTTACAAGTAGATTAACTTATAATTAAAGACTAAGTTATAATTAAATACTTAATCAAAAAACAATAAAAAAACTGCAAAAAGTCATGTTTTGAAACAACTCCAGACCTCACCCAAGAATCATTTAAACTGTTATCATAATCACTAAATAACTGCTGCAAGTTCATCCATAGAATTTCAGAACTATTTGTCATGGTATTACTTTAATTACTGGAAAGTGCTTTTACTAACATCTCTTTCTAACAATAAAGATATATCAGAAAGACAAAAGAACCAAGCATTAGATAATTTCTAAAAGCGTTGAAACACAAGAACAAAACATTTATAAAATAAAACAATGTTCATAAATTAAATTAAATGTATTAGTTTAGCAACCAATAAAATGTGTAAATCACTGAAGCATAGAAAAAAATGTTCAGAATCTTTTCTTCCAAAATCAACTTGCAGACAAACAATTAATACCTTGAGTTACAGTATGTGGAGTATGCATAAAAATTGTTTTCTGTTTGTTTTTTGCGTTACAGGAGTAGGTACTTGCTTACTATTCTGTTGGTTATTATGT